ATATATATATATATATTGGTTTCCAGAAAGATATTGATTTTTACCTATCCATTTAAATTAGCATATTTAAAAAAAAACCTACAATAAAATTCACATCAATAGGTAATAGCATTAGATAGATATATACATTTTCATTTTAATAGTCAATACAGGGTATATCTTAATCAAGCTATTTATTAATTCAGTTTATATTATCTATTGCACGTGTATTACATTTTAACATTACACTGTAAAAAAATTAAAATGAGAACTTTAAAAGCTTAGATCATTCTATCTGATAAAATATCACAGTCTATATTATGTACAAAGGAGGAGATCCATGGTATGTAAACTCAGAGTTCATGTTTAACTCCCACCTGGGACAGAGTGATCAACATAAGAAAAGAGGAAACCATGTCCTGCAGCTGCAGACAGATGAGGTGGGCAATGATGAAAAGGATCTATTGTCTCCTCTGGTGCCTCTCTGATGGACAGACCTGTTCTGGACACTCCCCAAGATTTCCATTGAGCTATCTGAATGGCTGTCTAGAGAAAGACACACCTATTCTTGGCCCCAGGCTGGTAGCCTCAAGAGGTATAAAGACAGGTTTCCTTCATACTTGTCACAGATCACTAGATGCACCTTGGGTTTGAAAGGTGTAGCTGAAGAGTATGAACTCAGTCCAGCTTCCAGCTCATCAGAGACCTCCTGCTTCAAACCCACAGCAACTTCACCCAAGAAGTGCCCAGGAAGCTCCAGAGATGTCTGTGTACTGTGACAACTTCAGCATGTACCAACAGAACCTGCACGCTTCTCAGAGACCAACAAATTATGGAATAGGAGACTTTACTCCTCCAGCAAATCACTACCTGTGGCTCGGTGGCCATGGAGTCAACAATTCTGCAAGTTATCCTTACAGCAACAACCCTTCTCCTTACATGCCACCATCTTATGGATCCCAGAGACAGTTCCTGCCTAATTCCACTGGTTTTGGTGGGGGAGACCTGAGCTGGCTGTCTGTCGCTTCACAGGAAGAGCTTCTTAAGCTGGTGAGGCCTCCATATTCCTACTCGGCTCTCATTGCCATGGCCATTCAACACACCCCGGAAAAGAAACTCACTCTCAGCCAAATCTACCAGTATGTGGCTGACAACTTTCCCTTCTACAAGAAAAGCAAAGCGGGCTGGCAGAATTCCATCCGGCACAACTTGTCCCTCAACGACTGCTTCAAGAAAGTTGCCAGAGATGAAAGTGACCCAGGTAAGAAGAGAAACGTAAAAACATATTATATATGCTATGTAAAATACTCCACTGTTCCCTTTCATACACCAACAGGGTTATTCACAAAGGGGTGAAGAGTTTGGAGAAGGCAGGTGACGTGAACAATCCAGGACTACATAGCTGAACTGGAAAGTGAGCTGAATTGGAGAATTTTTCCAAATGTTGTCCTAGATTGTTCACAACTCCTGCCTTCTCCAAACTCTTTTTGTGAATAAGTCAACTAGTTTTCATTAATTCTGCTTTGGTACATTTATTACGTTTTAAAATTCCTCTGTTTACAAAATTATTAGCTATTAATTCCATTTGAACAGATAACAAAGCGATTTTATATGGATATCAACCACCCTGTCACTTTTGTTTTTCTTAAACTTTCTCCTTAACACAAATTGATCTCCAAAAGAAACATTTGGTGAAAACTAGTACACCACCCCCTATTTATTCTTCTCAGAATCAATTATATTTGTGCTGTTTTCCATAGACTTGGTTAAATATCTTTCCAATACCCATTTATTTGTCCACCCATATAGTTATTGAATCAGGACAAACTTACCTTTTCATATATGAAATAACACACACAACTACATATATCAAATATAAAAAAAAATAAAAAAAAATTCAGATATTATTGTCCGTTTAAAAAAATAGATTAAATGAACAAAGCCAACACACCAAGATAAGGGTCTTTATTTACAAAAAAAGTTATTTTCAATGTCCAATGAGATGTAAAAATTAGAGTCAAATAGAGATGCACATAAAGATTCTTATGCTTGTGTCAAACCTTTGCAAATTGAGCCTAATGCATATCCCATGCTTTTTTTTTTTTTTTTTAAACCTGGGACTATTTATTTATTTCTGTTTAGCTCTATTTAGGTCTTTTTAACTTTTCTTTTGTCTTTATCGATTTTCTCTGCTTTAAACTGTGGATCTTACTGGTAGTAGTGGTAGAAGTATTTGCTGTACAAAACCATTGGTATGTTTCCTCTACTTATCCATCTGCTACTTTCTCTGCAGGTAAAGGAAACTATTGGACTCTGGATTCCAACTGTGAGAAAATGTTTGACAATGGGAATTTCCGGCGTAAAAGGAAGAGCAAATCTGAGTCTAACCCAAACAAGGCAATAAAAACTGAGGACGATGGGATGATTTCAAGCAAAAAAGGAAAAGAGAGTCCAACCTTGTCTGCCTCTTCTCCTCCATCTTTGGACGCATCGCCACATGACATAAAATCCATCTCGCCATCAGCAGGAGTTCCATATACCCCTTGCCTAAACAACTTTTTTAACAGCATGGCATCCATGGACTCAAACTCAGTGAGCAAACAAATGTCTTTTGGCCTGGTGAATGAACTTTCTCAAAGGAATATTACCAGCCTAAACAGCTTCAACTCTATTTCTCCTGCAGATCCTTCAGGAGACATACAGGACAATAACCTTTTCTACAGCAGGACCCCTTATTACAACTCCTTCTCCACAAGCAACCAAAAGCCCCCTCAGTTCCTACAGCAATTACAACAGCCTTCTATATATGGGAGATATTAACAAAACAACATTTTTAGGGGGTAAGAGGATTCTGAGCAAGGGCTTTATCTTCCATTTGGCCGTCTGATGAGTATTTTATGATCATCATGATCAAAGGACGATGAAAGTAGAAAGTACAAAGTAGTTTTGCTACTGCTATATACTCTTTTGACTTGCTGCCCTTTGTTTAAATGTACAGTCTGTAAATTTCATATAGTCAATTGTAAATTATGATTTTTATAATGCTATTTTTTTATTTATGAGTAATAAAGTTTTGCAAACTGGCAAATTGTTTTAATACCTTTTTTCCCCCGAAGCAACACAGTCAATTTCACTTCATACTAGTAGCGTTTGAAGCTCGGCACAGATGCCCTTTGGATAATCGAACAATAATTGGCTAATTTAATAATGTAGAGCGAAACAAGCATGATATGTCAAGTTCACAGACCCATGACCGGCAATTAAATTGCCATTTACAGTCTTTCCAGTGAAAACTGTTTGTTGATCAGCTACTATTGGCTGTCGGTCTTTGTATAGTCTCATTGTATAATTGATCAGTGGTATTTATCCTCCAGGAGGTATCTTCAAGGGATAAGTCAGCCTGCTAAAGAGCATGTATAGCCATTTTTTTTAAAGTTTTCGATAAGATAGGGATTAAACTCCCTACCAGGTTATGTGTTTGCCGTCTGTGTAGCATTGGGGGAATTTCCTTTCACTTCCTCTCAGGGAAGCAACATGGAATTGTACAATCCATAATTTGTGGAGTTGCACATGTGATCATGATCACAACACATTGCACATGTAGTTTTGAGATTGTATTCATTTTTACTTTTGGGGATGTCACATATTGTGTTGGGATAATCACTAGGCACTTAGTGGCACTTAGGTATAAGTTTTAGATTTTTTAGTGCAGTCACTTTATTGTCTTGAGATTTCAGTGAGTGATTATAGGATTCACTTGTTTTCACTGCTGCTGACACATTCAGAGTTATTCACAAAAGGGTGAAGAGTTAGGAGAAGTGAACAATCTAGGACAACATAGCTGAACAGGAAAGTGAGCTGAATTGGAGAATTTTTCCAAATTGGCTATTATTGTTCACTTCTGCCTTCTTCTAACTCTTCACCCTTTTGTGAATAACCCTGATTATATTGAAAGGAAACACCAACAGCGCAGATTTTACACATAATTACAATCCATACCCACCCCACAACATTACAAAATCGTACCAAAGTGTCAATAAAAAATGATGCATCAGAGACCATAGCTCTAGAAAAATATGGCAGCGTTTCTTTATTTTGGTTTAAAACACATTAGAATAAGTGTAATTCGCAGCGCTGAATACTGAAAAATGGCCTGGCCAGGAAGGGGGTCTAAACACCTGGTCTTGAAGTGGTTAAAACAGACAAGCAAACTCAAATTGACCTTAACAGAAAACCACTGCCTAAGCCTTCTGGACTCAACAATAGCCCCAACAAAATTAAAGCCATGACAAAAGGAGGGGAGATTACAACTTAATTGAAGATCCAAACTGCTGACAGGACCCAGGTCATAGATACTGTATATATAAAGGTGTGCAAGCCTTTTGATTGGCTGTTAGTTTTCTCACCAAAACCTCTTCCAATCTTTCTGCCAGCTGTCATTGATTCTTCTCAGAAATAACAGCTTCTTGAAGCTCTCTTCAATACAAGAGAGAGAGGTTATTTCCTGTAACATAGAAGAATGACCCTTAATTTAAGACTCATACACACACAGTAGTAGAATAAGGTGGCAGGGGGGCATCAATCCTATGGGTACACCTTATTAGCTTTGTGCCCTAACAGGATGATAGAAGAAATCTTCTAAAGTGAGGGAAACTTCCCCTCTTAGACAGTTGCCCCCAGAATAGATGTCCCCATTGAAAGATTTTCCCTTAACGTCTGGGTACAAGTTGAGTGATTTCTCATCTCTCTCAATGACAATGGTCAGAGAGGTGAATCTTGGTTTTTTGGCCTATATCTACTGCTGATAAGCAGTAGAAATAGGCAAAAAAATTTTAAAAATCAAAAAACGCTTAAACAGCGGTTTAGACTGACCTTATTATTGCTGCGCGCTCCCGCGGCGAGAGTCCGGAACTGTTTGTGCGGCTGCACAGGATCTTGGGGCGGTTGCAGTTCGGATTCTCGGCCGGGAGACAAGCAGAGACGCAAGGTAAGTCTATTCCCCTTTACAAATGACCTACTGTTAGCTGATTAGATTTATCATTTTTTTATTGTTGGGGAGGGGGGCATATGTACACACATTTGGTAAATTATGGTTATATATTTTCTTGAAATTAAATTACTTTTTATACTTGACGCTGGTTTTGTTTGAAGAATAGGAAGTGTTTACTATTGTACAATTTAGTTTATATTTTGACAGTTTTTTTGATCCATCCAACTTCTACCTTGGGTTCCCCCATTTCTGACATGTTAAATTTATACTTACCTCACTCCCGTTTTCTGCATCGTTGGGCATGACATCACCATAAACCCAGGAAGATGTCTGGAGAATGCAGAGCAGGTGGAATCTTGTGAGAAGTCACTCCTGTCCATTGCAAGAGCATCTTCTCACCAGCTTTCAGCTGCTCTATATTCTCTGCATTCTGTATCTGCTATAACTAAGGCCCAGTAAGGTTGAAAAATGGTGATTAAGTGCGGGGAGTTGTGGGACGCTAGAGTGGTGTACCCTGGACTGAATCTTACCAGAAGGTGTATGACATCATCCTCGCCTAGGTACTATGGGAGGAAGACGGGGATGAGTTAGGTTTAAACTCTTTTTTCTTTACACATAAATTTTTCACCTTTTAATAGGTGATTTGTGAAGAGGTAGGGGGCCTGGACAGTGTAATCAGATGTTGCATTTTGATGCAAGGTCCGCTTTAACGTAAATGCAGTTTAAAATGTCAACAAGCAATAAATTGTACATAAACGCATGTTAATAAGTATTTTTAATAAATAAATAAAAAGAAACATACACAAAAATCATTGTTTAGAAAACAGTTTTCAAAATTGGGGCATTTATACTTAAATGTATATTTGTTAATGGGTGAGAAGCAGATTGATGATTAAAACATCCTTTTCATTTTGAGTGAGATTAAATTTGAGGCTTTAATATTAGAGGTTTTTTTTTTACTACTTTTGAATAGAAGAGGCAAGTTGTTAAACCCCCAGCAACATTTTTCCGTGCTGTCTGTGCCCCACAGGGGCACAATCTTCCACCCGGTTAAATCAATCTTCAAATCGACTTTTGTTGAGCTGGATTGTGCCAACAGGGCCCATGGATTGAATTTTGGTCATATTCAGCAGGCATTGCCCAAAACGTGAGCCATGAATGGCTTGCATAACACTGGAGTGCTTTACTGAGTATGAGGTTTACTCAAAGCATTATTTACTATCACACATCACCGAAGTTTTATACTAAGGATGAAAGGGACCCAGGCCTATTACCCGCTATTGTGAGTAGAAAGGATTAAGGAGGTCACAGAAACAACAGACAAGATGCAAATTAATAGGCAACCTCATTACAGCTTCCTAGTTTACACAAGCTACAGTTTATATAAACCAGAAAAGCTTTTTCTATTGACAGTCCTATGAGGTTATATGGACCATGTTGGTGCTCACCACTTATAAAGGAAATTGAACATACACTCCAAATACATGTTGGTAGGTTAATTGGATCCTGTATAAATTTGCCCTCTATGTATGTAATATAGGGACCTTACAATGTAAGCTCCTTAGGGGCAGGGACTGATGTGAATGTGCACTAATGTAAATTAATGTAAACGGATATAAACCACTGTGTAAATTGATGGCGCTATATAAATACATATAATAAGTAAATAAAGTGATATACAGCAAGCTGTTGGTTTGAATCATGCATCCTGATACAGAGATGCTGGCTAACAATAGCCCCAAGGCAGAAATCAGATTCATGACACATTTTCAATTCTGTGACCACACCCAGAAACAAAAAAAAACCTTTCTGCAGAATACAGATCCTGTGCAATGAGCAGGGTCATTGATATGCATGTAATGGCAGGGAGTGACAACGCCACATCTCAGCAGGAAGTATCTGCCTACCAAAAAAAAAGCAATACCAAACAAGAGGGAAAACATGTTTACTTAAACTACCATTTTTCACTATAAAAAGGTCAATCTGATTTACACTTGTATTATCCCATTTTGAAAAGAAAGCTTGGCACATTTATTGTTGGGCTAAATGAGTGAACAGAATCATCACACTGCCCTGTTTTATAAAATTAACTTAATGAAAAAGGGGTCAGTCAAGTGAAGCAACGATGAAAATTTTATCACCAGAGCATGAACCTTTAAGGGACATTAAAGGATTGTTTTATTTTTCTCCCCATTGCTGCTTTAAGTACTTAACTTATGTGAAGCCTCTTGATGCGATCTTCTTGTTACTTAGGATTGTCACCAGCACGCCAAAAGGATTTGAAGCAAAAAGTCCTTCAATGACAAATTGTCATTCAGTACAAGCGCTTTCGGGGTCTCAACAGTATCCATTCATCAGGCTCTGAGGAGTATTGCCATTCAGTACAAGCACTTTCGGGGTCTCAACAGGCTCAATCAGAGCCTGAGTCCCGGTAACGGGTGTGTGCAACGGTTGGGTCTTTTCTGCCTGTGCATGCCCGCTAGGGGGCGCGCGCGAGCAGAAAAAAATTGCCGTCCAGAGACGGCAACCCGCAAATGCAGCAGTGCCGTCCGTCCGTTTTTTTTACTACGGGCAGACGGCAAGAGGTTAAAGGACTTTTTGCTTCAAATCCTTTTGGTGTGCTGGTGACAATCCCTACTATATTTGCATAGTTCACGATGCCGTCCGTGGTCACTACAAGCACCAACCTGCTTTGCAGGTTTACTACTATTCCGGTAAGGAGTGCAGCTGGTTTTCTACTACATCTTCTCACTTACTCTTGTTTTCAACACACCCTCCAGCGCTAGTGCCGCTCTCTGATCCAGCGCAGACACCTATGTCTTCCCATGTC